CGAATTCATTTTGAGAAGATACGTATATAATATCACGTGAACAATCATGATATGTAAAATAAAATTTGTTGCAAATGTGGTGTTTTTTTGCTAGTCTTTTAAATTAAAGTTTAAATCTAATCAGTTATTTAACCGATTAGAATTTTATTGATGTAATCTAAAAAAGATTTATACGTAATTTAAATGGAAGACGATTTTTTTCTTGAAAATTCTGTATGGGAATGTTTTCTTCAAAAACTAACTGAAGAGACTCACGATTTTGAATATTTTGTTCAAAAAATAGCTGGAGTATATGGTGTATCAGCTGATGAAGTTAAAGTATATCAAGGTAATAATCGTACCAATATTATTGTGAAACATATCGATTCAAAACAGGAAAAACATTTTATTTATCTTAATTATGATAATGTAGAAATAAGTGTTAAATTTAGATTCCTTTTTAGAAAAGCTTTTCGTCATTATTGCTAAAAGAAAAATTAAATTTTTTGATAGTATTTTTATTCTAGCTAGTCTATTTGACCGGTTAGATTTTTAGTTACATAAAACAAAAAAAATGAAAACTAAACAAGATATAGTTATTTATTGAAATTTATAATGAAAGTGGATTTGATATTAAAAATTTAATTGTTAAAAGAAAATGTAAAATTTTTTTAAATCAATAAATTAATCTAACTAGTCTATTTGACCAGTTAGATTTTTAATTGTATAATTTTGAAATGGCTGATAAGAAGGTGAGTTATATTCACTTAATAATCATATTTGTGTATACTGCTCTTCAGGCATTAAGAATTTGTTCTGGGAAGAAAATTTTTTAAAAAAAATTTCTCGAGGATAAATTTCATTTTTGCTAGGAACGCGAACATGTAGACGCCGCAACCCATGGAGTGAAAAATATGTTTTATTAATTTTTTATTTTATTTTAGATATCAAATTGGGCAAAAAGTCATACTTTCGAAAGTGATCTTCATAAATTATTTAAGGGGTAGTTCACAGCTGAAGGGTAAAAATTTCATAGTGAAAA